TATAATACCAACACATGTGCTCCAGAATAATTACGCTTAATTATTTCCACTTCATTGTTTCTGGAAGAAGTCATTTGTATTAAAGTTTGAGACTCGTGAAAAGCAACAATGCCGCCCTGTTACTTTGAGTGTATTATTGATCGACTCAGACAGAGAGCATTAGGCATATTTCCCAAAATAATAAAATATCCTGTCAAAAGAAATGAAACGAGTCGTTAAATCCACGGTTGAAAGACAAAAAAAGAGGAAGCATTCTCATTGAAGTAATTAATGTGCAAAGAAAAACCCTGAACGCTGCACATAGGAGCAAAAAGGAGAAAATAAAAAGTTAGTCGACTCACACAAAACGACGCCAATGAGAGAAAGTGTGAGATTTCCACAACAAACCCAACCCCTCTGACCTTAAATGGGCAGCACGACAGACTTCCACTCCATCACCGCTGATAAAAAAGCTCTGGGAAAGGAAAAAAAAACAAAAACCTGTGAGTGAGCACAACGGGCAGACAGGAATCCAGCTGGCAGTGCTCGCTGAGCTGAAGCTGAATCAGAGCCTCCTCAGAAAGCTCACTAATGTCAAAACAAACGGAGCGCATTCAAGGAAAAATGTCTGCAGTCTAATGAGTCACCGCATAAAACAGATGACATGACAATGAAAAAAGCAAGTGAGTCAGCGTGCAGCGTGACCTTGCAAGAAAAAAAAAAAAGCCCAACGCGGGCCCAGAACCATTAGACGAGGCTCGATAATTACAACCGACAGCTGTTGCAGCTGCATTCCTATTGGCTGAAACATTTAACATGCTGATGTCAAACCCATGCCCTCCTCCCCCACTGCTCCCACTCACTCTAAGACATTTGCTTAAATAAAGCAGGCGAAAACAAAATATCTGAATTCCAGCCAAAGACGACTATCACACCATTGAAGTTCAGAAAGCGTGCAGCCAATAAGAGTCTGTCACCACATTGTTCTGTTTAAGCTCTTAACCCAGCTCCATGAACTACTCATCCCCTCCCATTAAAGAAAAGGCAAAAGTCACAATAGTCACTCAAATAACTAGAAACTGATAAAAGTAATAATAAATAAAAATTTGCTAAATTATATCTCAGTGAAGTAAGACATTGCTTTTGGATTCTGGTTGGAAAGAATAATTTTTAAAAAACAAACAAAACTGTCCCAGAGTTACAGAAAACACTGGATGGCAGTGATTGGCTCAACAAAATATTAGTTTATGGGTCCCATCATGCTTTTTAAAAAATATTTCTGTTGAACCACAATTCAAAACCAGTGTCATGATTTTCATAAAATGTTTTATTTATTATTATTTTTGTCAATTTCAACTTATTTCAGTGACAGCTGTGTTTTTCCTTCTTAAATGGGAGGGTATGAATAAATCTGAGGACGACTGTATTAACATTAAACTGCAAGCGTCTGCAAACATGTTAAAGGAATCAGTGCACAAGAACACTAGAAGGGCCCTCGGAGCACATCCTCCACCAATACCTTACAATTTTCTGCTTTATTTTTATCATAAAGACACGAGAGTGGTGTTATGATCGTCATTTATTTCAACATGCAGGCCGATAAGCCCGTTTCTTAAAATGTGGAACTACTCCTTTAAGATGCAGAACTCAAAACTGAGTGAATCTGATTATGTTGAGACTACACGAGACAAAACATCCTCTTAATGATCCGTTCAGCAGTGAAGCAGCCGAGCTCTGCGTGTAGCTGTTGATGAGTGAAGGTTAGTGTTAGCTCATTTGGATCCAGAACAGATTTTCATGGCCTCTACCTCTGATGATGCTCAACCTTTCCACCAAGTTTCAGCAAATTTGGCCGAACACTTATTTTAATGAACTTGCTGATAGAACAAGTACGCCTTTAGAAGAAAAAAGATTATTGTTTAAAACTTTGCTCGTGCGCCGCCTTTCCGCTAAAGACAGAAAATTTCAAAGAATATTTTAATTTCTTGCTCAATCGTGCTGATTGAAAAACAAAGAAACACGGAACTGAACAAACACCTGCGGCAAGGTGAGAGTTGAGGAAGAGGAATGTTTCACTTCTCCTTAAAAACTGGAAACGGAGAAGCAGCACTTCTCTGTAGGATGGACTTCAGTGAGGGTTTGTTCCAACATTTGCCTCCATATGAGAAGAATCCTCTTGACTCTGTCTACCTCCACCAGCAGGTGAAACAGGCTTAGAAAGAAACCAGCAGACATTCATGGTCAGATGATGAAACCTGATCCTTCTGTGGCAATACAACGGCATTCGCTTTGTGGTTTTGAGTGAACAACTATTGGATGTGTTGCAATAAAATATCATGTTCCCCTTTTGTATGATTTGCAATAACTTCAGGGAACAAATTTGATTCCAATCTGCCCAAGCTTGTGTTTAGAGCTAATTAGTGAATGTTAAAAGGAAAACACCGTATCGTCCTATATCTGGTAAACAGCCGCACTTAGCTAATCCTACATTTACGCCCGAGTGCAGCTTTGCAGAGCCCCGTTTTGACCAGAAGCTATTTTTCTGGCTAAGCAGCAAAGGATGTTTGGAAGCGGAGAGCGCGCCCGTGGCAAGAAATCTGCTCTGGATATTCATCACATTAACAGAATTATATCTAATATGTTTAATAATTCCATTTCCTGCACCAAAGTTTCACTTGTATGAAAAGAAAACAGGCAATTTTGCAGTGAAATCAGCATATTCGTCCTCTCGGGCCGCCCTCCAGCCCAACGCGACATCTTAGCTTCGGGTCACCTCTGCCCTCGCCCCACAAATAGCAAAAAAAAAAACTCAGATCTTTTACTTAAACGACACTCGAGATCCCTTCAGCCTGTTGCACAAGTCAATTCCTGAACTTCTCGCTCCAGAACAAGGAGGCGCTTTCATCCAGGAGCCTCTCACTCCGCAAGCTCGCTGCATTTCTTCTGCCTGCAAAATTCCATCCTCGTTTTTTTTGTCCCCGGCTATAATATGGCACGCATTAGCACAAAGAGCCATTAAAAATAAATCCTCCTTTGCTTTTCGGTTGGCCGCGCACATCCATTCTCGCGCCGTTATCTGGAACGTACACAGACAGACGAGGGCCGTTTGTTTAACACAAAAACGCGTCCGGAAAAAGAAGAAGAAGTTCTCGCGTCTTCTCGGTGATTGCGCTTGGCAGAAACACAAACGCGGGAAGAAAAAAAAAAAAGACACGGAGTTGTTTCCCTACCAAAGAAACGCTCAATATGAAAACTGCTGATAGCGTGGTGTGTGAATTATTCACAGCGGTGCTTGAGCTGAACCGGCGCTCGCAGACATATACGAGGCGAATGCAGAAGCGTCGGGCTCTTGTGGATTTACGCCCGGTCGGTTTTCTTTACCTCGTATCACAACACATAAACCTGGTCTTTTAGCAAACGGTGCAAATGTTTTAGTTTTTCGGTGAAATGGATCCAAATTTTTTGAAAGAAAGGAGAATTTCTGTCGCACCTGGAGACATTTCCAAAAGCCTGAATGGAATTATTACTGCTTTGTGAATCCATTTTCTAAAACCACACTAAGCGCCGCAGCTTTGCAAATAACCAACCTGTTACGCATAATTATCTCTGAATTAATTTCTGCTTGGTGTTAGGCTTAAGGGGAAAACACAGAAAGGACGCACATATACATGATATTACAAGCTCCATAGCCTGACCTGTACCTGTAGCTTCATTAAACAGGCTCAGAGCTGCTTGTACAGACAAAATATCACTGAACAGGGAGTTGAAGGTGCAAGGGAAATAATTGTATAATAAAAAAACACTGACACTGAGTTCAAAGACAAAGCCAGCATCCATACTCCCAGCAGCTCATTTGCGTCTCTAATTTCTCTATATTTGCAGAGGTGTGGACATGAACCCGGCACAGCTGGGATATTTTCATTAGGCCTTTGAGTGCAGGTTTTTGGTGAGCTGTTCCAAAACTGGGCTGCAAGGTGGTGCAGTGGTTAGCACTGTTGCCTCGCAGCAAGAGGGTTGCCGGTTCGCGTCCCGGTGGGGGTCCTAAAGGTCCAGCGTTCTGGTGCCATACACTACAGGACACCCCTACAGGTTCATACCCTGATAGGTTCCACCTCTTTTGCCAATTTTAAGCGGGCGGTATTGATGTTGTTGGGGCTGTACGGTGGCTTGGTGGTTAACATCGTTGCCAGTTTTGACACCCGGGATCTTTCTACGTGGAGTCTCCATGTTCTCCCCGTGCAGCGTGGGTTCTCTCCGGGTTCTCCAGCTTCCTCCCACAAGGTCCAAAAACATGTTGAGGTTAATTGGTGATTCTAAATTGTCTATAGGTGTGAATGTGAGTGTGTTGGTTGTCTGTCTCTAAGTGTAGCCCTGTGATAGACTGTGTCCAGGTGAACCTGCCTTCACCCTGAGTCAGCTGGGATAGACTCCAGTCCCCCATGACCCTAATGAGGATTAAGCGGTGTATAGATAATGGATGGATGGATGGATGGATGTTCCAAAACTACAGCAAAAATAAGCCTTCAAAGCCAATACAAAGTGGCCGGTTGCTTATCTCGCTGACTATTAAGATTGAGAGGGCAGCAAAACAAATTATTAACATCAATTTGTTTCCTGTTCCTATTTTTCCTACTGTGCATAGCTTATGTTACCCATCCCTTTCTCAAAGTGTTTCTATTTTCAGTAGCACAAATTTAATTCACTCCATTCATTGGGTTACAATCAGAAATCCATGATGCCAACTGCTCTCTCCTATGGTGACAGTTCTCATCTTACGTTTGCCGACATGTTTTTCCAGTAAAAACCTGGAGGCTGAGAGGGAAAAGCTCCCCCCACCTCCGATACTCTCCACATTCCTGAGCAAAACACACACACCCAGTGTCAGAGTGAAGAGAAAGTGAGAGGGAGGAAGAGGCAGGTAGGAAGGGAAGGGAGGGGAGTTAGAGAGAGACGTAGAAATTAACCGAGCTGACAGAGTTGCCACAGGCTAAGTCATCCGAGTCGCTTCTCACCGAGCTGCTAAGCACACGGCGCATGGAGGTTAAAATGTGTTGTGAAAAGTGAAGAGGAGAAGTTCAGTCTGACTCCACAGCTCAAGGTGAGTGATTGTTTTTTCCCTTCTTGTGTCTGTTTTGACGCTGTTAAAAATCCAAAAGTTTGAGGACAATTCTCACAGAACTGAGGCTTTTAATTGGACTTACATCCATGATGACGTGAATGAAATTGATATTTGGATACAGCACTGGTCAGTGTGTAAACAGAGTGATTCATCATCGCAGGCTCAAAGTCTGTCTTATTTATGGTTTATTTGAAAGACACTGATAGTGATTGCATAAACTCAAAACAGTTGTCCGATGCATGAAGAGTTTGCAGGCAAATGCTGATTTGCAACGCCCAGAAGTGTTGCGCAATCTTATCATCACTGGGCCGAGATAACAGCGCTTAGTCATCAAACGAAGAGAAATGATTTAAAGCATCTGCATTCTTGGAAATCTACAAATCAAATTAAATGTTGATCTAAAACGGGAGACAAAATGCCTCGACGCCGAACTCCGTCTCGCCCACATCCAACCACAACAACCCAAAGAGCATCATTAACTTCCCAAACTCGTCTTTTAGCTGCTCACCGGTCCCGAAGGAGGAGGAGAAAAACAGCACCTCACTGGTTTTGAAGACAACAATTTGGCGATTTTAAGTGCCTTCGGGCTGGATGTTCAGTCACAGATTAGATCTTTGTGCACACAGATTCTTATCCAGTGAGAAACTGGTAGAACTGGGAGGTTAAAGGCCACGTTGCTTAAGGGCGCCTCAGTGGTGAATTTTTCACTTTCACCTGCCCCTATTTACTCTGCTGGGTCAGGGAGCCCCATCTACGGTAAATGACATTTCTGTAAACATCCAGGCGGGTTCAGGATGGAGCCAAGTCATCTTTTTCGCCACACTCGCCTCGAGGGAATGTTGGGCGGCTGGTCGATTGTCAGTGCAGCGTCTGAAATACCTCGTCAAATACTAGAGAGGTCAATGGTACCACATTTACACATGAAATCCCAATTAGCTTCAGCCGATGTTTTATTTGCTTAGCTGTGTGACAAAACTTCCTGGTGTTGCAACTACTATTTAAAAATCAGAACATAGCCGAGAGCCATTACTTCTTCATTACTATGACGCCTGTGTGACAATGCAGCTCTGTGGCCTGAAGGCAAAAAGGCTATTTCAGGCTTTCGCTACACAGCAATACTTGGTGATACAGGATCTGATCGTGGCCACTTTGAGTCTTTTAATGGGATTTGTTGATTGTAAGAAAAAGATAAACCGACACCAGGCTTACTTATTGCTTCAAGTCAACACCGCGGGCTATTAGCCTGCTTAATCGCTGGCACGTGTGAAGCTTTTTACACTAAATAAGCTCATTTCAGGCAAGTCTGAGCAGCTGTTGGTGACACTGTTCCCCGGCTGATAATGTCTGCCGTTTCCTCGACAGTCCCGTGAGGCTCAACCGCTTTGAGAAGATTATAAGCTGCAGGTTTTTATTGCGGCTGGGGCCAAGACGCCTGTGGGTTCTCGGGAATTTGTTTGTATACTAAAGTCACCGAGCCTTAAATCTTTTTCAATCTGGTCCGGTGTCACTTATCTTGGTCCTCTACTGCTTCCATTTATGCTGAAGCTTCATTTATATTTTAAAGGGAGCTGTTGAACTCTGCGAAGGCGAACCAGCCTTTCCCCTTTTATCTTGCAGTTCTTAGGAGGTGTGTAGGGGCTGCAGTTCACGTCTCACTAGATTTATTCTTTTCACTCTTTGCAGTGAAGCGAGCACAGGAGCCTTTGGTTGTGTGACTCCATCTACCCATCGTACTCGGTCCAGTACGAGTTTCCTCGGTTATCTCCTATTTGAGCGTACTGTGTTTAGTCTTTAGTTGTGGATGGATTTTATCTGTGGAAGCGGCGAATGGATTTGACTGTGTACATTGAAAGTCCTATGGGTCATGGTTCAGTGCCTCGGTGGAAGACAACTTGACTTCTTTTTGGTTCTTGAAGATGCTCTACCTACCATCCAAGAGGCTAAACACCTGGAACTCCCCGAAGATCAGTTAGAACTAATGGAACCTCTTCAACAATGAAAAAGAAGTTAATCTGAGCACACGAGGAAGGACGTATTCTCCAAGAATTCATGGTTGCAATACAACAAATACAACAGTTTGATTGAACCTGTTGGGGAACACTTAGTACAAAGCGACCAGATGTGCTGGGTTGCCGACTTCAGAGAACCACACTGCACCTCGTTAGAACCCCAGACTCCCATTCTGGGTAGAATCAGATGCATTTCTATGGGGGTACTATCGGAGCAAAACTATCTGTCCATGCGTATGGAGAGTTGTCTGTCTGTATCCAAATCCGTTCGTCTGAAGTGAGATTTGTCAATGTGTAGAAGAAGTTGTCAACCGGTATCTACAAAAGTCACAATTTGTCTGTAATCCGGTTTTCAAATGTGTGAAAAATCTGCTCATCTGTATTAAAATTCGGACACGTAGTAAGAGTTGTCGATGCGTACAGAGGTATCGGAGTTGACAAGTCTACATATTAGAGTTTAGCAGCTTCCCCATTGGCTGTCTTTTCCTACATCTCTACTGTGAGAGATCTGAAACTGAAGAAGAATTACTCGTTCATTCGTTGATGACTCATTCATGCCAGTGTCACACAGTACAGCACAAAGGTGGAGTCAAAAAAAAAAAAAAAGAAAACCATGACAGGGCACATTATTCTTCGCTGAACACTGTTCTGTTGTGAAATATGTTTTTACAATGAGACAGAAGTCTTTAACCTTTGGTATTCCTTTTTTTTCCCCCCCTTCCATTCCTGCTACTATTCACTACTACATATTTTTTGAGAACTTCTGCTGAAAGAATTCTAACCAAAGCTGTCAAACACAAGACCTCCCATAGGTCCTATACAGTAGAGCTTTTTTACAGTGAACGGTTTGACTTGTCAGAGCAGGAAAAAACAAAGTGAGCATCCTCCAGCGCTGACAGAGTGCTGTGGAGAAAGATCCGTCTATGCGAGACTAAGGTGTAACTAATAGCATTTATAATGGCTATGTTCCATTTAATAACCAGCCATAACCGTGAGCTAGGACGTGCAGCTGAATAATCCTGAAGCACAGAATATATAAAAAAATGGTATTAATGCCATTAGTTACCCCTGTTAGACATGTCACGCTATAATGAAATATTTCACATTGTCATCTCATGTAGGTTTAGAAAGAAAAGCATTCTGTCTGGGCAAACACAGGCACGCTTCTCCTGTTCTGACGCATTTAAATATTGAAGGATTGTTGCTGCGACTTTCATTTCCTCTCTTGGTTCGTGGGAGGCAGCTGATGGTACGATGACAGTTTTTAAAATCACATTTTGTCATTTCATTTTCTCAAAGATGAGTCCCTGCCCCGTCCGTTTCCATCCTCGACGATCGGATGCTCGTCACTGCTGTAAACACAATTTGTAGTTTACAGGAAACTTGCAGCTTTAAAGGGTCAGTTCACCCTTTTAGAAACTACATTGTTTTCCCTTGAAGTAGTTTGCAGCTAGTTTGTTATATTTGTCTCCCTTGAGGTGAACTCGTTATCGAGACGGATAAAGAATGCGTCTTTCGATGTTATCTAGGTAAACAGCGACCTTTAACCATTAAAAATTTGCATTTATAAAAAGGCAAGACAGCTCTTGATGTATGACGGCAACAGCCTCCTCACCTAAACATGTCAAGTATCGACCACGCGGAGGATGAACGCGATGACCTGGGAATAAAACGTCCAGCTCAAGCCCAAGCCCAGCTGTGTTTATGGAGCACATAAACACGAGGCCTCATTAAACCAGAGTAAAGAACAGTCATCAGCGAAACAAGTGTGCTGCCAGATTAATCGTGTCGGGCGAGGGCAGTGGGCACGCTGCTGCCAACACATGTCGATGGAAGAACTGTTTGCCGTCAACGATTGACTGCTGGGTAAATATCAGCAGCAGTAATAGAGATTTCAGCTCAATGGATGACGCTGTTCTCGTTCTATCGGAGAGATATCGCAGTTTAATCAGCGGTAGAACCATTTATTACTCCTTTCATTGCTCGGTTGCTAATCGAGTGCAGGACGACGACGTCACACGATGGAGCTGCAGCATTTA